ACAGATATAGAGATAGATAAAGATATAGGCCAACCGATTGTTGTTGTAAAAAGACTTCAGGACCTACAGAGGTCGGTGGAAACACCTTCTCTTTGAATTGCCCTCTGTACGCAGTTTATGGGCTCAGTCACTCATTTAGACTCAAACTGAACAAAAAAGTCTTTTTTGTGAATTTTAGCCATACCATGGCTAACTGTGCATTGTCCACTGACAATTTGTCTACAATTTAAATCATTAATTAATGAACAAATGGCTTCACAGTCAGACCAGCCTGTCCTCATTGCATCTGGTCATATGGCCACAAATGTCATGTCAAATCTTCAAAATGGGCCTTCAGAAACCAGTGGTTGATATAACAGCACCTAAAGCTGGTCTAAAATCTGCTGTACACTTAACATGTGTGTTTGTTTGTGTGTGCAGGAGTCAGGTCTGTCTTTATGGCTGGCCAGGCTGATGACACCTCTGGGTGACCTCCCGGTCTTAGCCACAGTCACAGTGGCCTGCCTCCTTACCACCACACTGACAGAGGTGGCCAGCAACGCCGCCACCATCACCATCTTCCTCCCCATCCTCTCTCCTCTGGTTAGTTCAGTGTGTCATACTGTAATGCTAAGAATTACTGTTCGATTTTCAGCTCAGTATTTTATTCTTGGACTTTACTAGAGTACTTAAAACAATCATTATTTATCTTACACTGGGCTGTGGAGGAATCCCTGCGTTCATGGTCTGCTTGAAACAAACCGTTTAAATCCACTCCCTTTAAGCCTACTCTCTTCTGATTGGCTTCTCCCGACAAATACAACACGCAAGGAAGCAGCAATTTTATACTCATGTAAGTAAGTAAGTAAGTAAAACTTTATTTATATAGCACCTTTCAAGATAAAAATCACAAAGTGCTTCACAGAAGCTAAAACCTAAAATTAAAAATCAACCAAAAGCAAGTTTAAAAAGATGAGTTTTTAGCTGTTTTTTAAAAGCGACCACTGAGTCCACAGATCTCAGGCTCAAAGACAGAGAGTTCCACAATCTGGGGGCCACAGTTACAAAAGCTCTGTCGCCTTTTGTTTTCAGCCTCGTGTGTTGGACAGCAAGCAAGCCCTGGTCACATGACCTCAGGGACCTGCTGGGAATGTATGGATGTAAAAGTTCACTTATATATGTTGGTGCTT